CAAGGGAGGTGAATACTTTTTATAGGCACTGTAAACAGTTCCAACTCATCATGTTTTTGTTGTTTACAATAAAGCCCTGAAAATGTCTTCCCATCTCTGACAGATGTTGGTGCTTCTGGGTTCTTTAAAAAGTCATTAGATCCTGTTTAAAGTTAGAAAACCTCCTGCTTAAGTTATTGATTATTATTGAGTTTTAAATGGTTTTCCTTCGTGATGAGCTGTTGCTGTGTACATTCAGGAGTCGTCACATCCTCTTTAGAGCCTGGACTGTTTGTCAAACTCACGTGAGACAGAAGAATCCATCAATCTACTTTGAAAACACACCCACTGATGTGTAAAGGACACAGCATGTCATTCATTCACTCATTCAGTGCTGGTATCTCATTCATTCAGGCCACAGAGCCTCGCGGTAAAATCACATCCCCTGTCTGAGCTTCATTCACATCAGTGTCTCCATACAGACTGTGCAGTCGCCCGACAGCATGATTCCCACCCAGCTCTCCCACATAAACCACTATGAAAACATCACTTTGAACACAGATGTCAAAAGATGAACGTATTTATTTCAGAATTATGTGAAATTAGAACATTTCGCCTAAACAAACTACAGAATTTGAACTTGTATTTTACATTTACAGACATTTTCTTTTCGTAAATGTGGCGCTAACAGGAAATAAAAGTTATATTTGAGCAAACGTAAGCTGCTCTGGTGACAAACGGCTCCTCCTACAGCTGCTTAGTGAACAATAAATATCAAGAGGGATGATTCTGCTGCAGGATTTATCATCTAAATGCAAAACATTAAGGTGCTAAAAGTACAATAACTCACAGCGAAAGACTGAAGTGAAACATTCTGAAGGAAAAATGAGAAATATTAATAAATAAATAAGATTTTCTGTGGGTTTTTTTTAAATTTTTCAATTTGTTTGTTTGGCTGCATGTCAGACTGTAAAGCTGAGATACTTGTTGATCAGTGATTATTGCTTTAAAATACAATCCCTGAT